CCCCCAGCCCTGCGTGTGTCTTTGTGCCGGTTTTAAGCCTTCGGACCTTTTTGTATGTTTTAAAGCAACTTCTGCCAAATATGACCTGTGGTTTTTGTGTTCGGGTGCGTGGGTGGCCTCCAGCGCTTGTGTGTATGGGAACTGGCTTTAGTGCTGCAGAAGCTACGCGGAAGATGCCGCAGCCGTTGCTCCCTTGTGCCCCCCACCCCAGCAGATCACCCCTACATGGCCTCCCCCCCCCCCGGTCCCTGCAACGCACGGCAGCCTTGCCGATATGGCTGCGGTAGGATTTGTGGACAGGAAGCGCCTCCTGAGCATTAAGTGGCATGGAAGAGAAGTCTGCTAATCTGATGCGGGTTGCGATTTTTGTTTCTAAAGAATTGCGTATTAGCCTGTCGTGGGCATGACATTCTCCTGGGAGGCAGCCCGAGCGAGCTTCTGCGCATCACCAAATGGCCACAGGCTGCTTGTGGCTTGCGAAGGCAGCAAGAGAGACAGCACAGGTGCCCACATGCCCTGCTTTTGCAAGGCTCAAAGAGGGCCAGGTTGGGTGGCCTTTGGAGTTCCTCTTAGCGTAGTAAGGGGAAAGAGGGGAATGTCATTCTTCTGATCTTGCCTGCAGAGACCAAGCCCTGCTCTTCACCGCCCACCTCGGTCTCTTTGAACCCTGTTACTCTGGCGATGGAAGAGCCAATCAAAGCAAGGCAGTGACTGCAGTTGGAGGGCCTGATCAAGTCTGCAGGGAATCCCTTTCCTCTGCTTCAGCTTGCATACTGTTGTGTTCAGCTTGCATACTGTTGTGTGCGTGCACTTTGTCTCTGCAAGCTCAACAGCCGGTTCAGGTAAAGGCCAAGTCATGTAATTGGCCCTGGGGGTGGAACTGAATCCTTAATTTAGCAGCCTGCCGGGCAAGGATGCTGTCGGAGCACTGTTGTGCCGTGAAACAGGTCAGTGTGAATGGAGCCTGACTCTCTCAGGGAAAGATGTTCTGGGAAATGCATGTTCGGATGGAGTGACTGGCTAGTGGCGGAGCGGATGCAGCAGCCCTAAGACTGGAGGTTTTTTTTCTGATCTGTGTGCATATTAATAAAACACTCTGGACTGTTTATGTGTTACATGTTTGCTCAGGCTGTTACGGAAAGGATCTGTGTACTGGCTTTGCATGGCAGCAATAAAACAAACAAGACTGGTTAGAAATGTAAAAGGGTCGCCCAGGGACGGCCTCCCTCTCCCCCCCCCCGGTCACAGCAGCCTTTGTCTGATTTCCACCGCAAACTCCTTGATAACTTTCCCCAAACAGCCCCTCCCCTTGCATTCCTCTCAAATAAAGCTTGCTGTCTCCCTATTTGGCACCCTTAATCAGACAGATGTGCTTATGGTTGTGCCGTCTGTCTCTCCTTCTCAACTGACTTGAAACATGGGCACTGCTGTGAGGGTTTGTAGAAGCAGAAGCATGGGTCCGAAACGTGGTTTCAAGCAACACGGAAGTGTTTTGGTTTCTGCCAGACTGATTTTTATTGAGAACGTGTGTTTGAAAGAAGGTGTGCTGCCGTATTGGGGACAGAAACCTCCAAACTAAGTAGCTGATGAATAAAAATCACACTTGAAGGCTGGAGTCAGGGTTTTTCGGAGAACTTGGCTTGGTGCTCAGAGTATATAATTCACCCAACTCCTGGGACTCTGGCAAACATACCTGGAAGGCTTTTATGTCATTCCCAAACTCTGCAAACCCTGTTGTTACCTTGATAGGAGTTCTTAAAAAATTGAATACGCTGCACTGAAGGTTCTTAAACCCACTTTCAGGTCTCTTGAAAGTGAAGGGAAGGAAGGCTGTCTTTAGCCTTAGATTTCCCCTAGACTACACTGATCATACTTGGGAGGTCCGAATAAGGCTAAGGCTATGGTAGAAAGATGCCCGATACTGGCTCCAGAACAGAAGGAAGAAATAGGATTTGCCCGACAGCAGTGACAAATCTGGATGCCAGTGCGTGGAATAAGGGCTTCCAGCTGCAATGACAGACTACTGGAGCAGGCTTAGATGACTGTGTCAGTTCTTCTGGGTGGAAGGCTACTTTAGAACAGCCGAGGAACACAGCCCCAGCGTCTTCTGTTCTCAGTTCAGAAGGGAGACACACCCAGAACAAGGTACGGTCCTGCTCCCTTTTCTGCAGCTGCACCATCGAGAGGAGAGGAAGCCAGCCAGACCCCTGAAGGCACATGAGCCAAACATGTAACATGTACTGAGTAGTGGTAACTCAAATGCTCAGCTGAGCTCACAATTTCCCTTCGCTTCCTGGTTCAAAAACACTGAAGTAGGGTTACCCTTCAGGCATTAAGAAGGTGGCTGTTGGCGACTTCAGAACAGAAGCCCCTGTTTCAAGAGGGACAAGGAATGGGCATGTGCAAATCGGACAGGTGTGCGCGTCTCGCGGCGCTAGGCAGCCATTACGTTCCGAAAGGTTAGGTTGATTCTCGGAGCCAAGACCTTCTTGCGGCTGGGCAAACTGTGGTACCAGTAGCGGTTGGTCGGGAAGTTCATCATCAGCAAGCTGCCGTGTTCCAGCTGCAACCTGACGGGCTCGATGCGGCACAAGGCCCTTCTGCCCCGGGAAGCCCCGTGCCGGAAGACAAAGTCCCTGCGGGCCCCGAAGGAGACGGAAGCGATGGGGCTGCGAGGGGCCAGTTCCCTCTCGTCGTCCCGGTGCTCCCCCATGTGATCGTGTCCGTCTTTGTATCTGTGAAGGCAGGAGAGGCCCACTCAAGCTCTTGTCTCTCTTAGTCTCCGCCCCAGTTGAAGTCCCCCAACAACCACCAAGGGCAGGTCCCATGTTCGGATACACGCAGAGGCGTCAGCACACGCAACCCACCCTACATGGCGGGCAGAGACGCAAGCCCTTCATGTCATCCCAGCCTTGACAGTTACCTGTTAATAAGAACAAAGTTGAAGGTGTGGCTTGTGGCCAGCTGGACCTGGTCCCTGATGCGCTCCAGAACTGGGATCCAGGGCTTGGGAGAGAAGGTGACACCTGAGTAGGTGTAGGTCAACCCAGAGTCACCGTAGGTCACCTGCCTCCTTGGAATGTTGTGCCACTTGCCAAAGACCTGCAGTTTGGTCAACTCCCCTGTTTGGAAAAGACACATGAAAAAGCTCAAGGAGGGTTTCCGCAACTGGATATAAGCAAGAATTGGCATTTGTCAAAAGACTGAAAGGCCCATACTACATACAATGCATCAGGGCACTGGTTTTGAAACCACAGCGCTCCAAGGAATTTGTGTGTGTGTATGCATGGAGGACAGGAGATTGGATTTATACCCCAGTCTTCACTACCCAAAGGAGTCTCGGCGGCTTACAATCCCTTTCCCTTCCTCTTCCCACAACAGACACCCTGGGAGGTAGGTGGGGCAGAGAGAGCTCTCCCGAGAAGTGCCCTTGAGAGAACAGCTCTGAGAGAACTTGTGACTGACCCAAGGTCACACCTGCCGCTGCATGTGGAGACGTGGGGAATCAAACCTGGTTCTCCCAGATTAGAGTCCACGCTCTTAACCACTACACCGAACCGGCTCTGACTGCGTGTGTGTTGGGGGGGGGATGTCTTCCTCAATATTAGTAAATGGTAGTCAAGCTTTCCCCTAAGAAAGACAGCCATGGCTACCAATCAGCAATTCACAGCAGCTGTAGAGTGTTGCGTATCCTAAAACACATTCTTGGCTCACATGGGACATTGGTGACGCCAAAGAAATCTAGCCTGCGCCAGTCTGTGTCAACACAGCGTGCTCCCCAGAATGCTCTGTCATGTGCATGGGTTCCTCAATGGATGAATCAATTCAGAAGGGATTCCCACTGGACAGTAAGTCTGAAATTAATTTTGAGCTATAGTTACCTGCCATCAACTTTTTGGGAGAGAGATTTGGCCTTTTATTTCATGAAGTACTGCTTTCTCCCTCTCCATATTGGCATCTTGGTTAACTGCACAGACTAATCTGGGAGAACCGGGTTTGATTCCCCACTCCTCCGCTTGCAGCTGCTGGGTGGCCTTGGGCAAGCCATAGTTCTGTCAGAGCTGTTCTTGAAAAAGAGCCGTTTCTGTCAGAGCTCTCTCAGCCCCACCTGCCTCACGGGGTCTCTGTTGTGGGGAGGGGAAGGGAAAGGAGTTTGTGAGCCGCTCTGAGACTCCTTCAGGTAGTGAAGGGCCATGGGGTATAGATCCATTCTCTTCTTCTTCCATTCTGTGAGATCCTTCCCCTCCTCCCCATCAATTTTAAACCCAATCTTTCCCTTCATCCCTGAAGTTGTTACTGGCATTGTGTTAATTGTCAACAAGGTAGTACACACAAATGTTTTTTTAAAGAAAGTAATTTTTTAAAGGATGTAGCAGCACTGAAAACTAGTGACTTAGCCACTACACTTGCTATGAACATAAGAACATAAGAGATGCCAATGTTGGATAAGGCCAAAGGCCCATCCAGTCCAACACTCTGTATCACACAGTGGCCAGAAATACCAGGCGCCATCAGGAGGTCCACCAGTGGGGCCAGGACATGAGAAGCCATCCCACTGTTGACCCCCCCAAGCACCAAGATGTACAGAGCATCACTTGCCCCAGAGTCCCTATCTATACCTTGTGGCTAATAGCCACTGATGGACCTCTGCTCCATATGCTTATCTAATTCTCTCTTGAAGCCTTCCATGCTTGTAGCCGCCACCACTTCCTGTGGCAGTGAATTCCAAGTGTTAATCACCCTTTGGGTGAAGAAGTACTTCCTTTTATCCGTTCTAACCCGACCGCTCAGCAATTTAAGGACATAAGAACATAAGAGATGCCAATGTTGGATCAGGCCAAAGGCCCATCCAGTCCAACACTCTGTATCACCCAGTGGCCAGATATACCAGTGCCATCAGGAGGTCCACCAGTGGGGCCAGGACATTAGAAGCCCTCCCACTGTTGACCCCCCCCCCCAAGCACCAAGAAGACAGAGCATCACTTGCCCCAGAGCCCCTATCTATACCTTGTGGCTAATAGCCACTGATGGACCTCTGCTCTATATGCTTATCTAATTCCCTTTTGAAGCCGTCCATGCTTGTAGCTGCCACCACTTCCTGTGGCAGTGAATTCCAAGTGTTAATCACTCTTTGGGTGAAGAAGTACTTCCTTTTATCCGTTCTAACCCGACCGCTCAGCAATTTCATGGAGTGCCCACGGGTTCTTGTATTGTGAGAAAGGGAGAAAAGTACCTCTTTCTCTACCTGCTCTTTCCCATGCATAATCTTATAAACCTCAATCATGTCACCCCTCAGTCGTCGTTTCTCCAAGCTAAAGAGCCCTAAGCGCCTTAACCGTTCCTCATAGGGAAAGTGTTCCAACCCTTTTATCATTCGAGTTGCTCTTTTCTGCACTTTTTCCAAAGCTATAATATCCTTTTTAAGGTGTGGTGACCAGAATTGCACACAGTATTCCAGATGAGGTCGCACCATTGATTTATATAGCGGCATTATGATATTGGCTGATCTGTTTACAATACCCTTCCTAATAATCCCCAGCATAGCATTGGCCTTCTTTATTGCAGTCACACACTGTCTCGACATTTTCAGTGAGTTATCTACTACAACTCCAAGATCTCTCTCTTGATCTGTCTCTGCCAGTTCAGACCCCATCAACGTGTATTTATAGTTAGGATTTTTGGCTCCAATGTGCATCACCTTGCACTTGGCCACATTGAACCCCATTTGCCATGTTGACGCCCACTCGCCCAACTTTGACAGATCCCTTTGGAGTGCCTCACAATCCTCACTGGTTTTCACCACCCTGAACAACTTCGTATCATCCGCAAATTTAGCCACTTCACTGCTTACTCCCAACTCCAAATCATTAATGAACAAGTTAAAAAGCAGTGGACCAAGTACTGATCCCTGTGGTACCCCACTGCTTACACCCCTCCACTGGGAGAACTGCCCATTTATACTCACTCTCTGTTTTCTATTAATTAGCCAGTTTTTGATCCATAAAAGGACTTGTCCTTTTATCCCATGATTTTTGAGCTTGCTTAGGAGCCTTTGATGAGGAACTTTATCAAAAGCTTTCTGGAAGTCAAGGTAAACAATATCTATTGGATCCCCCTTGTCCACATGTTTGTTCACCCCCTCAAAGAACATTAACAGGTTAGTGAGACAAGATCTTCCCTTACAGAACCCATGTTGAGTCTGCCTCAATAGGTTTTGTTCATCTATGTGCCTACTAATTCTTTCCTTAATAATGGTTTCCACCAATTTACCCGGTATCGACGTCAGACTGACTGGCCTGTAATTTCCCGGATCTCCTCTGGAACCCTTTTTAAAGATGGGAGTGACATTAGCTACCTTCCAGTCCTCAGGAATGGAGGCTGATTTTAAGGAGAGATTACATATTTTTGTCAGGAGATCCACAAGTTCACAATTGAGTTCTTTCAGAACTCTTGGATGTATGCCATCTGGGCCTGGTGATTTATCAGTTTTTAAGTTGTTTATCAGTTTTAGGACCTCCTCTCTCGTCACCTCAATCTGACTCAGGTCTTTCAACACCCCTCCCGAACTCAGCGGCTCTGGAGTGGGCAAGCACCTCTCATCTTCCACAGTGAAGACGGAGGCAAAAAATGCATTTAGCTTCTCAGCCATTTCCCTATCATCCTTCAGTACTCCTTTTACCCCTTGGTCATCCAAGGGCCCCACTGCCTCCCTGGCTGGTTTCCTGTTTCTAATGTATTTGAAGAAAGTTTTATTGTTGGTCTTTACATTTTTTGCTATATGCTCCTCATATTTCCTTTTTGCCTGCCTGACTACAGACTTGCATTTTATTTGCCATAGCCTGTGTTCCGTTTTATCAGCCTCACTGTGACTAGCTTTCCACCGCTTAAAGGAATCCTTTTTACCTTTTACAGCTTCCATTACTTTGTTTGTTAACCATGTAGGCTTTTTCTTATACCTGTTTGTGCCTTTCCTAACCTGCGGAATATATTTTTTTTGAGCTTCTAGAATCGTAGTTTCAAATAGTTTCCAAGCTTCCCCAATGGTTTTGACCCTTTCTACTTTTCCCTTCAGTTTCCTCCCCACATGTCCCCTCATATCAGAAAAATTACCCCTTTTAAAGTTAAAAGTGGTTGTGTGAGTCTTTTTGGCCAATTCCCTATTTGTACAAATGTTGAACTCAACAACATTATGATCACTGTTCCAAAGCGGTGCAATCACTTTTACATCTCTCACCAGGTCTTGAGTGTTACTTAGGATCAAATCACGGATCGCCTCTCCCCTGGTAAGTTCCGTAACCATCTGCTCCATAGCACAGTCATTTAGAGTGTCTAGAAACTCAATCTCTTTCTCTCGACTAGAACACATATTGACCCAATCAATGTGGCTGCTACCTTATCAATAAAAAACAGTAGATTTTTAATGCAGCCTTTCAGGTGGCTAATTGCTGCTCATGGATTCAGAGGGTGAGTTCTGGGCCACCAGCTAAAGATTAGACTCCAGGCATTCATTTACCTTTAAAATATTCTACATCCTTTTCCAATTCTTGGAAGAGCCCGTCAGCCTTGGCTTTGCCAAACAGGATTGTGTAGCTGCAGTTCAACCCCTCAGCCCGAATTTCTCTCCAAGGGTTGGCATGCATCCGGCGGGGTTCATCCAGGATGGCCACCGGAAGCGTGGGCCTTTTCTCCTCCGTTTCATTCTTTTTGTTGGTACAGTCTGCATCCTCTTCCTCCGGCTGATGCTTTCTCTTCTCTGGTGTGAGCTTAAGAGCTCCTCGGACTAGGAATTTATCCATTTGCCAGTTGCAACACACCTGAATTTGGGGGAAGGAGTGAAGAATAAGCCTGCATTTAACAGAACTACATAAAGTGTTAAATGGGATGTTGCTGGGTGTGGAAATAGCTAAGTGCTATATTCCACTGTATATTCAGTCACCCAATTAAGTGGATTTCTGGAAGGCTTAGAAAAAAAGACAGGAATCCCTTCTTCATACGGTACACAAGACACTTATGAGAATTGCCAAAACAGGTTAAAATGGCCATCAAAAGGATCAAACAAAGCTACACTCAGAGGGGACAGGTATGGGGGGGGGTATCTGTTAAAAAACAAGGAAGGAGAAAGCCTGTATGCTTCTTCAGGTGGGATAAAAAGGGAGATAGGTGGGAGCTAAATGGAGCTTCCATGTGCAAGAGCAGTATGCGTAGGAGAACCAGCAGGTGAAAGCCAGCAACAGGGCGGCCAGAGCCACTGTGCTGTTTTTGTAAACAGGGTGGGGTGGGGGACCTGGCCGGCTAACTTAGGAAACAAACACTGAACAGCAGCAGAAGGGGATGGAGAGACACCATATAGCAAAGTGCAAAGGGAAACTGAACTGATGGTGAGATTGTGGCACACCGGCCATGCATGGGATAGAGCAGGTAGAGAAAGAGGAGGGATCGGTGCATGAACCCCCGCCCACTTACTCGCAAGGAAGCCCCCGTCCCGCCGGGCAGGTCGGCCCAGCCACCGCAGCTCAGACTCCCCGGGCGGGAATCTGCCCAGAGCAGAAGGGGGCACCTCCTCTCTCCTCCGTTCACACGTCACTGCGCCTGAACACGCGAGTCAGGGGGAGCTGTGTGCGTCTGAACGCCTCTGCCCGCATCTTCTCAGCTTCTGGGCCGTCAAAGCAGGAATCAGCGGTGCCCAAAGGCCAAGACAAGCCGCGCACCAGACTGGCACACAACGCGCATGCGTCAGACACACGTGTCTTCCCCGGTTAGTCTTGTTTTCCTCGCGGGGCCACGCATGCGTAGACCGAACCCCTCAGGTACAGGCCGCCCTCTTCTCGTACGCATGCGCACGCCTTTTGGCGCCAATTTTGGGTCTCTGAGAGGACAAAAACGGGTCCCGCTGTGAGGGGGGGAAAAAGCGGTGGCAGCGGATCCTCCTCCTGTTCCTCGTCCTCCGCGCCCAACCGGACCGGGCTCCTCCAGAGCTGCAGCGCCGCACCCCTGCCTATCAACGGAGCCACCATGATCGGGCAGAAGACGCTGCTCTCCTTTTTCGCGGCGGAGCCCGGCAAGAAGCGGAGCCGCTCTCCGGAGCCAGGCGAGACCGCCGAGGTAAGGGGAAGCGGGAGGAGCGCTTCTTTAAGGCCAGAAGGGGAGAACCGAGAAGTTTTTAATTCATTGCTTGAGTTCGCGCGCGTTGGAAAAAGGCGCCAGCCAGAGGCGGCGACCAATCGGAAGCGCCCTTCGTTGCGCTACAACCAATAGAAAGTGGTGTGGGAGGTGGGACTAAGGTGTGAACCAATAGAGATCAGGGCTTCCTTAGCAACCGGAGGGGGCGGTAGGCAGGCCGTTCGTCCCGCGGTTAACTAAGATGGCAGTGGGAGGGCGGGGCTTGTCTGGCCGTCCAATAGGGACGCGGGGGTGGGCTGTTGGTCCTGCCGTTTTGCCGCGAAACGCCCGCGTGGGGTTCTTTGACCGGAAGTTGTTGTTGTGACTGTTGTTTGGGTCCCTCCCGGCCCATGGCTGCTTCCGCCGCGAGGAGTCTGGCCTCCCTTCCCCACCTCCCTTCTTCGCCTTCTTCTTTCCTCCTCCCGGTCCACGGCTGCTTCCTCGGTCTTTCCCAGGCCTGCTCCCCCAAGAGGTCAAAGGCGGATGTTTCCTCCCCTCGGTCTCCTCCTCTGAGCCCGGAGCAGCTGGAACGGATCCGGAGAAACAAAGAGGCGGCTTTGCAAAGACTCGCTGCCCGCACAAACAGCTTCGTCCCCGCGGAGATCGGGCGCAGCTGGAGGGTCTCGCTGACGGGGGAGTTCTCCAAGCCCTATTTCTCCCAGGTAAGCGAGAGGCACATCCGTTCGCTGTTAATCCGGAGCTTTCTGCTGCCCTGTTGTTCGGAGAAGCTACAACTGAACCCGGGATCTAACTTCCCACTGAGCCCCACCCCCTTTTGTATGGAGCTGACTTTTTATTTTTTAACAACTTTTATTTTTATCAATGTCATATACAGAAGGGGGGAAAGACAGCATAAGGTAGCAAGAATCAAACTCCAACATAAGAACATAAGAGACGCCAGTGTTGGATCAGGCCAAAGGCCCATCCAGTCCAACACTCTGTGTCACACAGTGGCCAGAAATACCAGGTGCCATCAGGAGGTCCACCAGTGGGGCCAGGACATTAGAAGCCATCCCACTGTTGACCCCCCCCAAGCACCAAGAAGACAGAGCATCACTTGCCCCAGAGTCCCTATCTATACCTTGTGGCTAATAGCCACTGATGGACCTCTGCTCCATATGCTTATCTAATTCCCTTTTGAAGCCGTCCATGCTTGTAGCCGCCACCACTTCCTGTGGCAGTGAATTCCATGTGTTAATCACTCTTTGGGTGAAGAAGTACTTCCTTTTATCTGTTCTAACCCGACCGCTCAGCAATTTCATGGAGTGCCCACGGGTTCTTGTATTGTGAGAAAGGGAGAAAAGTACCTCTTTCTCTACCTGCTCTTTCCCATGCATAATCTTATAAACCTCAATCATGTCACCCCTCAGTCGTCGTTTCTCCAAGCTAAAGTGCCCTAAGCGCCTTAACCTTTCCTCATAGGGAACGTGTTCCAACCCTTTTATCATTCGAGTTGCCCTTTTCTGCACTTTTTTTTAACCAACCACAGAACACTTCAAAACAATGACATAAACATGAATAACAAACCAGCCACACTGTATAAGTAACCTAAGACATTGTTTGCATTTTAAAGTAAAATAAGCTATACACTCAGCATCTAACCGGTAATGTTAACAAAAAATAATCTAAGTGCTTATATAAGTTAGTAACCGGGACAACATTATAGGAAGCTGACTTGTTATGGGTCAGGTAGGAGGTCAGTGGTAGCTGCTGTCCACTTCCTTCACGCTTTGGCAATTGAGAGTCTTAAACCAGATGCCAAAAACTGAATCTGGGGTCTTCTGTCTGCAAAGCAGGGGATCTTCCACAGGTTTCTATTAGCCCCCATAGGATTGTGCTTTCTTGTTTTTTATTTCCCACTCCTGTTTTCCTTTTGTTAACTTTATTTTGTTACTTAATACGTTCCTTCTATGTATTGTAAGGCACTTGGTGTATTTTTATTATTATGCTTTTGTCTTGGTGGACAGATTTATTCAGCCCACTGGATAGAAAAATTGGTCAAAGCCCCTTCCTTGTATATATTTGGAACATGATTTCTCTATTGTTTAAAGTTCAGAGCAGTTAATACCATTTAGTTATTGTTCTCTTTGAACACAGTGCTGTATTTTGATCCTCACAACGTTTATTTAAAGTATTTATATAGCCATTATTTTCTTGGACACTTCAGGACCAAAGGCAGATAAAAACTGTGCATTTACTTATTTATTTACTTTATGCCTTTATCTGAAAATTGAGATGGTTGCAAAATTTAATGATACAATAGGAACAGTATACAATAAATGCAGTAAAAAAGTATTGCAGAAGTTTAAAAATTGCTATAAAAACTGTATAAGGCATAGGAAATGCAGAAGCAGGATTTCAGAAATTAAGGGTGTGTTACAGTAGTCTAGCATTATGGTGTGGATCCACATGGCCAGATCAGTCTGTTGAAGGAAGGGAGTAATCTTCCAGGCGAAGTGAAAATTACATATGCCCCCTGTACTGTTAACTAAGTCAGTGAGGGTCAGCTGAACCCACAAAATGTGGGACGCAGAATGCCTTCCCAGGTCTCTGCCTTCCCCACCTACATCACCTTTGTCTTGTCAGGATTCAGTTTCAGCTTGTTCACTTCTGCACACGAAAGCTCCCATCTTGAATAAATCTTTATTGGTCAAAAAGGAGCCACTGGACCCAAAATTTGTTCTGTTGCTTTGGACCAACCCGGCTGCCCATCTGGATCTTCCTTTAACCGTGTAATTGAAGCAGCATACAAAAACATTAAAACAGATCTATAGTGCATGCAAATCATATTAAAACTCTTTCTGATGCACTGGGAGGATACTGCCTTTTGCCAGGGTTCAGCCTACCCCCAAAGCTGTGCAGAATAATTCTGTCGGTAGCAGTGCTTGAAAGCTAGGATAGCAGGAGGCCCCAAGCTCTTCCAGGAGATTGTTCCACCAATATGAAGCAGCCCAAAGTGTAGCAGAACATACTGTAGACAAGTGAGGTAGTTTGGTGTAGTGGTTAAGTGTGCGGACTCTAATCTGGGAGAATTGGGTTTGATTCCCCACTCCTCCACTTGCACCTGGCTGGATGACCTTGGGCAAGCCATAGTTCTGGCACAGCTGTTCTTGAAAAAGAGCAGTTTCTCTCAGAGCTCTCTCAGCCCCACCTCCCTCACAGGGTGTCTGCTGTAGGGAGGGGAAGGGAAAGGAGTTTGTAAGCCGCTCTGAGACTCCTTCGGGTAGTGAAGGGCGGGGTATAAATCCAATCTCCTCCTCTCCTCCTCCTGAACAAAGACCTTGCTGGTAAAAATAAAGCTGTCACATAGGAATATGCAGGAAAAGGCATCCCTTGAGAGCCAAGACAAGCAACTGTTGGTTCAGCTGTGAATTGGGTTTGGAGTCATTTCCCACCCCCCACAAAAGGAGGAACCCCTGCCAGTGCACGAGGCTTGCATTCTTCCCGTTCCTACAGAATACATGCTCCTTGAGTGGCCACGTTTTTTATTTATTTGTTTATTGTTTTATTTATTTATTTGATTCCCCCCCCCCCGGTGAGGCAGGCTCAGGGTGGCTTACATAAAAAAATAGATAAGGCAACAGTATAAATATCCATATAAAATACACAAAAGTTATTAAAACCATTAACATAATGATGGCGGTATAACTGTGGTAAAGTACATTCAGCGGTACATCCACTATCGACAGGCTCAGGCTGGAAATAGAATTGGCATAGATGATAACACAGCTCCTTACCTAAATGCCTGGCGAAAGAGCTCCATGTTCGTATCCCTGCAGAACTGTCAAAGGTCCCGCAGGGCCGTGATCTCGTCCGGAAGCTCATTCTAGCAAAGTTGGTGCTGCCACAGAAAAGGCCCTGGTCCTGGTCGATATCCCCCTGGTGTTCTTAGGACTTTTTAAAGACTCACCTGATCTGCACCCACGTGGGTGTCACCTCAGAAGCCATTAGTACGTGCGATTTCTCCATTTGTTTTTTACAGAACAGTTGGCTGGATGCTCCCTGTCAAAAACCTGGATATTAGTGAGATTCCTTATTCTTGACACAAGAAGAAAGTTTTATTGTTCAACTTGAAGGCAGCTGCTCGATACCCAAGCTGGCACCTAGCAAAAACCTGGCGTGCTACATGCTTACCTGATTGCCTCCCTTGTTCCTAAGGGGGAATCTAAAACAAAAATATCTAAAAATATCTCCTCCTCTCTCCCTAACCAGCTAATGGCCTTTGTGGCTGAGGAGCGCAAGCGTTACACTGTCTACCCACCCCCAAATCAAGTCTTCACCTGGACCCAGATGTGTGATATCCATGACGTGAGTAATTCTTTATTCCTGAATATATTTTTTTAATTATAATCACACCAACATACAAAACATACAAATTGGGGGATTCATTACATCTTTGTAGTATCTCTTATGTACTTTTTATGGCATGCACTTAAATTATGTTTATACGTATTACATAATATATCTATAAGAAATGCATATAATTGTAGGTGAGTAATTCTGAAAGAATCACCCCCGGGGGCAAGAGCCTTGTCGTGGTCTGAATCTGTACTTCAGCTCCCGCTCGGTGCCTGGATGTCACCAGTAATATCTTCCTTCTGTTCTGTACAGGCTTTCGCTAGATGCACCTCTTGAGGAACCGCGAGGGAGGGTGGTTTAGGAATCCCTCCCAATGCTCAAAATCCCCAAGGTTCACTAAGCTCTCAAGGGCTACATAGTGGGCCGGTCTACCACCATCCCTTTCCCTTTGACTGACTCAGCTGCTGTCCTTTCCCCATGCTTCCTACAGTATGCTGAGCCCTTCTCTTTTTGTGGGGTGGGTAGAGATGTAAAAGTTCCAGAAATGTTTTGGAAAAATTGAAAAAAACGCTACATTAGCATTTCTTTTGTCTTTTCCAGATTGAAAGTCATTCTGTTACTTTAGGAACATAAAATATGACTATGGACATTTTTACTTGGCATGAAAGTATCACAACTAGCCTATTAAAAATATAGTGTATCCAAATAATTATTACAAACAGAATACCCACCCACATGCAAAAACAAAACTGAAACCTTTTAATTTTCTTCTGACAATTGCACCTCCTAAAGGAAGAAATGCATCTTGTTCTTGCATTGGGGAGTTCAGTTTGTAACCTAGGAAATGATTTGGAAAATATTTGAACACCTTGTCTTAAAATATTTTATTCATCATGTTAAAATAAAATGTTCCATAATCAATTTTTTTCCTTTCCTTTTTTCAATTTTTCAGAAAAAACGGGGGGAAATGGTTTTTCCCCTAATTTTTCCATTTTTTTCCCGGGCCTTCACATCTCTAGGGGTGGGGGTGAAGCAGGGTGTGACTGGTTACTTTACAAAATCATCTCTTTCTCCATTCTTGGGCAGCCCCCCAAGTGTGTGAAGGCTATATGTTGTCGAAGGCTTTCACAGCCGGAGTTAATTAGTTGTTGTAGATTTTCCAGGCTGTACGGCTGCGGTCTTGGCATTGTGGGACCTGACAATTCACCAGCAGCTGTGACTGGTATTCTCAGAAGTATAACACAGAAAGGCGGAGTACTCTCTGTGTCAAGGTGAGAAGAAAAATGGTAGGCAGGTAATTTATCTCTACCCAGGAAGGTGGGGCAGGGCTGAGTCCTTCTCTTGTAGGAGTTTCCCTAGGCTGTGGACATGCTAATGGAGGAGCTTTCCTGAGGAGGTTCTTTTGCATATGGATCGGCTGTTGAAATTCTAATCTTATCTGTAGTGCTGTTGTCAGATGTAGAGCATTTTGTGTTTTTCAACCTCTGAGGATGCCAGTCACAGCTGCTGGCGAAATGTCAGGTCCTACAATGCCAAGAGCACGGCCACACAGCCCGGGAAATCTACAACAGCTAATGTGTCCAGGCTCCTGGCTTGTCTCTGGGTGGCCCATTGAGCTGCAGTTCTGATCACAGTGGAGCTCCATCGCTTTACTCTCAAAGGAGTGACAGACAGGTGGCAGCTGGGAGTGGCTTGCTTAAGGCCCTGCAGTGAGCTTTTGACTGAGCTGCACCTTGAGACGGGGACTTCCCAGTGTGCAGCTCATGCTTCTCTCATCTAACCACCTTGCCAAGCAAGCATGCCTGCACACGAAAGCTCACCCAGAATAAAACTTAGTTGGTCTTAAAGATGCCAGTGGACTCAAATTTTCTTCTGCTGCTTCAGCCCAGCATAGCTGCCCACCTGGTTATTTTGCCAGTATAATGTGGGAGGCAACCGTTCTTCCAGCCCCACTCGTTGGAGTCTGAGCCCAGTGGGTCTCAAACTGTTCCAACTGGGCCCTGCTTCTGAACTTACTTGCAAAGTAAGACTGTTACTTTCCTCCTTCCCAGCACAAAAGGCATGAATCAAGTCTTATATTTTATTGTATGTTGCGATGTTCTGCCCGTTGTGCTGAGGCAAACCCAGATGTGCCATTGGGCTTTCCATTTTTTAAAAATAATTTATTTTTATTGGTTTTGACAAATATAAACAATCATCCACATCTTATATTTCCGTACATTTTGAGTCTGTCATTATAACCTAACTTTAATCCGTTTACGTACCCTCGACCATCTTTTTTGATGCACCTCATCATCTTTGCCTTGCATCATAATGTTTATAATGCCATTGGGCTTTTCCAGAGCCCCCTCTCCCAGCTCATGCTGTTCTTTCTCCTCCTTCCTGACCTGGCAAAATACCCATGAGACAGCTGTAACCTACTTTGGAGTCCTCGCCCACCTTCTGAGAATTGCAGCCCTCACTTAGAAAGCAGTAAACGAGATCTGTCTGCATTGCAGAGTACACTGAGAGCAGGACTGACCAAGGATGGTGTAATGATTCCATGTTTTGGTGTGTGTTTAAATGTTTGACTGCAGTAATATGAGAAGAGCGATAGAGGGTGACAAGTGTGATTTGATTTGCTGCTGACTGAGAGTGTGGGAGGAGATGTTCTGAAAGGATTCTGTGTGTGTGTCTATGGCCCCGGACACATGGCAAAGTTGCCGCGGAGAGGCATGGGTGGTGGGCGGATTATCCGGGCGCGATCACACCCTAACATATGAGAAGTGGAGCGCACCGGTGGCACCGACAATGCGCCTTAAAAAACTAGTACCTCCAAGGCACTAGTAAACGTTTGCCACGGGCTGCCTACAGACACCTGTGGTGTGATCGCGCCAGCGCGCAGCATTCCCCTCCAGTCCCTCGTTTACCCGCCGGTGCTGAGGGAAGGACCCGTGGTGTGCTGCTGGCGTGTCTGATCGCGTAATCACGCATCAAACTGCGCCGGGGCAATTAGCCACGCCCCCCCGGCGATATCCGGCCTGTGTGACCGGGGCCTATGAGGAGATTCTGTGATATGAGAGAGACAAGTATGGAAGAGTTTTGAAGAGAGTCTGTGTGACTCAGTTATGAAAGATTCTGTGTGTGAAGCTTGAAAAGAGAACATAGTCTGTCTGACTATGGAATTCTGAGTCTAATTCTGTGTGAATAAGACCAACAGTTTAGTCTGTGTGACTAAGAGAGTTGATTCTGTTCAGTGTGAATAAAACAGAGTACCCTGTGTGGCTATGTATCTGAGTGTATAAACCCGTCAGAGTGGAGTTTGAGAGACTGTAGCACCAAGCTTTGCCAGTTATATTTACAAGTTCCTTTCTTCAGCAGCTGTTCAAAATAACCAGAAACCTATTTTGTTCTTTATTTAAAAAATCAATTTTTGTTTAAACTGGTCCCAGAAATCAGTACAGTACTTCCTCAGGGCCACATAGTCCTCTGAAGTGCCCATACTACCAAAAGAGAGAGAATTGGAATTTTTAATTCCTGGTGGCAGCAGAAAATTACCAAGTTTATATACACAGAGTGTTTAAAGGTAAAACCGTTTCCCCTATAAGCAAGAACCTCACAGGTGGCTGCTAACTTTTTCTGCTTTGGCAACTTCAGGTGAAAGTTGTCATCTTGGGCCAGGACCCGTATCACGGACCCAGTCAAGCGCACGGCCTCTGTTTCAGCGTCCAGAGACCAGTCCCGCCTCCACCCAGGTAAGGTTCGCCTTTGCCTGCATAAAAATTCCAGAGTTGTGTTAGGATCAGACATGCATGCTTCTCATTGGTCTTCCTTTTCAAGGCAACATGTCATCGCTACACACGTTCTTGTGGATACGGCAGGCTATTTGAAACTAAGAAGTTCATTCGGAAATGTGTGGCCCTGGTTCGGAAGGAGCTGTTACAAAGACCTGTTTTATTTTTGCTTGCAGCCTAGAAAATATTTACAAAGAGCTTGCGACTGACATAGAAGACTTCTCTCATCCTGGCCATGGAGACTTGACGGGGTGGGCCAGACAAGGTGATTTGAGTTTCCTTTCTTTCTTGCCATCTGCATTAGCATCTGGTAGGAAGGAGCAGATTTCTTCCTTCCATGCCCTGGCAGAAGCTGAAGAGTCTCCTTGAGCACGTGGGTCCTCATCCCAGCCCTAGTTGCTTTTCTACTGCTGAGAGGTTGCACTCTCCTGCTTCTCCACTGTGGATGGCAGCTGAGAAAAGTCAGACAAAGCTTATTGTTGTGTTTAGCTTAGGACAGATTCACACTTTGTGCAGCAGATGGATTTGTGGTTTGTCCATGTGTGTATTCCCTTTCTGTATGCCTTCCCCATGTGTCTCAGTGAACCAGGACCACGTGCATCTGCTGCGTAAACCATTAGTCGCTGCTTGACTGTGTGCTCACGCCTTCCTGTCTTGTGTGTTCTGCAGGAGTCCTCTTGCTCAATGCCGTCCTCACAGTTCGAGCACACCAGGCCAATTCTCACAAGGAGAAGGGCTGGGAGCAGTTCACGGATGCGGTGGTGTCGTGGCTGAACAAGAACCTGGACGGGCTGGTCTTCATGCTCTGGGGAGCCTATGCTCAGAGGAAGGGCAGCGCTATTGACCGAGTAGGTACATCTGGCCTCTTCCGTCCATATGGAAGTCGGGCCTGCTTGGAGAGTGGAGGAGGCTGGGTCAGCTGGCACGCAGTGAGGAGTCTCTAAACCTCCGCTCTGGCTTCCGGCAATGGCCTCTTCAGTGCATTTATTTGATTGGGGGGGAGGCAGTCAGCCATCCAGCACAGCAGTGAAGCCTCTGTGTTTAGAAACTAGCCACTGCTAGCTACTGGGGATGGAGACTGGATTTCGGAGGGTGGCTGTGTCTCCATGCTACTTTTGATTTTCTCTGGCAGAAGACAGGATACTGATCCAAATAATCTTTTGACCTGACACAGTGTGATAATCATGTTCTGCAATGGTGGAATTCACTGCCACAGGAGGTGGTGGCGGCTACAAGCATGGACGGCTTCAAGGGGTAATTAGATAAACATATGAATCAGAGGTCCATCAGTTGCTTTTAGCCACAAGGTGTAGATAGGAACTTTCAGTCCGGGGCAAGGGATGCTCTGTAATTTTGGTGCTTGGGGGGGGGGGGGCAAGAGTGGGAGGGCTTCTAGTGTCCTGGCCTCACAGCTGGACTTCCCGAGGGCACCTGGTTTTTTTGGCCACCGTGTGAACAGGGTGTTGGACTGGATGGGCCGTTGGCCTGATCCAATGTTGGTTCTCTTATGTTCTTATGTTTAATGCAGACTCCTTCCTTTTTCACACAATAGATCTAACCTGTCTACACTCTAGAAAAACGTTTGGGTCCATTGGGCACCTTTAGGAGCAACAAAGTTTTATTATGGGTATAAGCTATTGTGTGCATGCACTTCAGATACCTCATACGTATATTACGATTTACGAAGTCTGCATGCACACAAAAGCTTTTACCCAGGAATAAACTTTGTTCGTCTTAAAGGTGCCCACTGAATGCAAACTTGGTTCTCTTGCTTCAAACCGACATGGCTACCCACCTGAATCTTTCAACATCCTGTAAGCCAAAATAAGAAGTCCTGCCCCTGCAGCATCCTAGGCAAATGAGATTCGTTTGGGCAACTCCTTCTTTGGTTCTGGTACCGTGTAATAGGGTTCTTGGGATGTTCGTTTTCTTGGACTCATGTTTAGGTTCCTGAACAAATGCCCAAGGTTTAGATTCTGCTGCTCTGTTTTGAAATGTGTTTAGTGTTCGCTGCCTTGGGGGGCCAAGAGTTGCATGGAAAGGTGGCTTAGAAATGTGTTCAGTAAATAATTATACATTCTGGTGGTCTATCAAACACGGGCAGGAATGATGGTGAGGTGAGCTTTCTTTCTCTGCTGTCTTGCAGAAACGTCACCACGTCTTGCAGACGGTCCACCCTTCGCCCCTCTCTGTGCACAGGGGCTTCTTCGGCTGTAAGCATTTCTCAAAAACAAACGAATTACTGGAAAAATCTGGGAAGAAGCCCATTGACTGGAGAGCGCTCTGAACGGCTGGCGTGGTCTTGGGAGGCCGCCGCGATCTGGAACGGACAGTGCCATTGAAGGGAGCCAATCTTAAGAGCTTGGAGGATTCTAGGAATTCCCTCTTTGTGTTTTGAGACAGGGTGACCTAAACAGTCTGCTTCGGTCCTTTTGTTCTGGATTAGTTTCTTGAAATGAGTGCGGCTATTCCAAAGAGGGTTTTTTTTTGAGGCCTGAAGAAATTGGTGTATATAATTCACATTCTTAAATGCATTTGAGGACAACTTGCAGTTGGCTACAAGGAGTAACGTAACTTCTTGTTCTCAGGACATTGCCCAAGAAAACATTCTGTTCTGTGCTATTATAACACACTGTTATTGGGGGTTTTTGCTCCCTGTCTTGTTATCTGTTTTTGAGGCTCATGGAAGCACCTCTTCATTCCTAACGGCAAAGATGCTATTTTTTCCATTTTGGGCCTCTTACAAAAAATGTAACTAGCAAAGCGGTTGCAGCATTCAAGGTGGTTTGTTTCGTTTTCCCAGCAGGCCCCTTTAATAAGTGGTAGGCTGAAAGGTTTGCTGTGAGCCACGATGCCCCACTTAAGTGGTTTCTGTGGCCTGAAGGAACTGGTTTCCACTGGATTCCCTCCTCGCTCCCAGATACACTGAGAGGATGAGGCCCAAGTGTGGGACAGCATTGGCAGGATTCTGTAAGAGCTGTGTAAAAAGGGGAATACTCCTAAAACGGCTGTCACTTCACACTCCAGAGTAGCAGGACAATGGGATAAACTGCATTTGCCAAACACAGGATCATTGAAGGCAGATGTTGAAATTTGGTGTCTCAGAGTGGTGGTTGGCTCCAAGCTGCAGAATTTCTTTACAGCATTTGTGAATTCATAAAATCCTACATCAAAACATGTCTCTTGGAAACGGGTCATCTGTAGCTTCATCTGTGTGGGAAGATCTGTGGTTACTTGTGCATCCCTATGGGAATGTGGGGAGTGTGGTCACTGGTCCCTAGCCAGTAACCACACCCCTCGTGTGTAGTCCTCAGCGTTAAAGCTGCTGTGCCTTGATTATCTTGAGGATTTCATCCTAGGGCTTGCTCTACCACAGGCAGGTGTGGAAACTCGAGCTGCAGTGTTAGAAGAGTCAAAAAACAAATATATACACTGCAAAATCCTTATTTATAAGTTAAAGTGTTCTATATGTTCCATCTTATAAAGTGCATTGTGTATTAGTCATAATATTCTAAAACAGGTATATATTCATCACATGCAATATCAACAATAATAATCCGTTTGTACAATCTAATAGCTACCAGTCAATTTACATCCTTTTTACACAATCAACCCCAATGGGAGTTTCTAGAATTGTACACCCGCTTCTCCTTGCTTGAAAGTCTTCTAAAGGGGGAAGTTTCCTTTTGTGGTTACATTGAAGTTTAAATTGATGTTTGTTGCTGGTCCTACAAAAGGTCCATTAAGCAGCTGACAATCATAGATGGAGCGCTACTGTCTTTTTCAAGCGGGTGTACAAGTCTAGAAACCCCCATAGGGGTTGATTGTGTTAAAAGGATGTAAATTGACTGGTAGCTATTAGATTGTACAAACGGATTATTATTGTTGATATTGCATGTAATGAATATATACCTGTTTTAGAATATTATGACTAATACACAATGTACTTTATAAGATGGAACATATAGAACACTTTAACTTATAAATAAGGTTTTTGTAGTGTATGTATTTGTTGTTTGACCACCACAGGCAGGGGCAAAATGAGGCCCTCATAAAGGCATCTCTGTTACAGGTATTCACCTAGGGAAGGACCCATAAACAGCTTTATCACTTTGAATTCCTGAGAAGCAAAGTTGGTTATCTGTTTTGTATGCAAATTGCATAAGGAGATCTGTACTGGTATATTTTAAATACCAAATTAAGATACGTGCATTGTTCCGTGACACTAGTGACAAAGTTGGCTTTTTGAGTCACTATAATTTTTTATTTTTAAATAAACGTCTGTTTTGATACACGTCTCGTCATCAATTGTGCTTCTTCATGCTGGTCTTAGTCTTTCCATTGTGACCCTTGCACTTGTAATGTGGCATTCCGGTCTCTGCCCCCACAGACCTCTGCATTTACAAAAATGCCTGCAAGTTTTCTGTAAGATTAAGAAAAATCCTTTTTTTGGTTCGGAGCTTCGGTTCTTTCAGTTCAACAAAGTCTTTACTCTGCCTCTGTGCAACGTAAGATCTACAAACCTTTAGGATCTTAGTTTTCAAATTAGGATTTTTTAATGCAGGCTTAGTACCATTCAGCACAGGTTAGTTTGGAGATCTGGGGTCTGCACTCTTGCTTTGGAGATGTCATGATCCTGGGCCTGTAGTGGTGCGGCCTATGGGCTCTGGGGAGCCTGTACTGGAGTAGCTATCAAAAGCCTACATTTCCCAGGTTCCCTCTGGACCCTGTGACTGGCTAGCAGGGGATTTGGAGGGAAAAGTTGCACCAGCAGAGGAGTGGAGGGCGGGACCTGGGAAGAAGGAATAAAAGGCCTTGCCCCAAAGTGGGAGGGGGGGGTTCACTCCCAGGGAGCAGAGCTAGTATGAAGCCGCTGCAGAAGGAGGAATCCCTCCTCCAAAAGGGTGAGTCAGTTTGAGACCTACCAAGCTAGATCGGTATAGTCAGATGCATTAGGGCAGTGGTGGTGAACCTATGGCACGGGTGCCAGAGGTGGTCAGAGCCCTCTTTGTGGGCACGCGTGCCATCACCCCAACCAGGCCCAGACCGTCATTAAAGTGTCGAATTCTCTGCCAAATAATTTTAAGTAAATGAAAGCATTTGGGATTGCTTTCCTTACTTTGTTTGGATCATCTTAAGTTAATGTATGAGTTGTTTTTTCTAAAGTAAAACCTCAGTATTCAGGTTAAATTGCCGTGTTGGCACTTTGCGATCAATAAGTGGGTTTTGGGTCGCAGTTTGGGCACTCGGTCTCTAAAAGGTTCGCCATCACTGCATTAGGGTTTCTTATTTTGCTGGTTTACCTGCCTTTACTGTGCTCAGTTTTCCTACAAGTTATTGAATTACAGTTGTTGTTAAATTACAGTTGTTAAAGCTAGTTTGGTGTCGTGCTTAAGTGCGCGAACTCTAATCTGGGAGAACCGGGTTTGAGTCCCCACTCCTCCACTTGCAGCTGCTGGATGACCTTGGGTCAGCCACAAGTTCTCTCAGAGCTGTCCTTGAAAAAGAGCCGTTTCAGAGCTCCCTCAGCCCCATCTACCTCACAAGGGTGTCTGTTGTGGGGAGGGGGAGGGAAAAGGAGTTTGTCAGCCGCTCTGAGACTCCGAGTGGAGGGCGGGGTGTAAATCCAATCTCTTCTTCTCATTAATAAAACGAGTGTGTTACTCTGCCTGGGTCCTCGGGCCTCATTCAGTCCCTTATAAGGGGAAGCCTACTAGGAAAGGAGTGCATAAAGGGGTTGGGTGGGTGCTCTGGGCCCTCCCGAGGAGACCCTTTCCCGGGTGGTGGACCTTTCTAGCTGCTGCCCTCGACAGGAGACGAGGGATCGAAGAAGAAGAAGAGGAGATTGGATTTATCCCCCGCCCTTCACTACCCAAAGGAGTCTCAGAGCGGCTCACAAACTCCTTTCCCTTCCCCTCCCCACAACAGACACCCCGCGAGGTAGGCGGGGCTGAGAGAGCTCTGACAAACTGCTCTCTTTCAAGATCAGCTCTGACAGAACTATGGCTTGCCCAAGGTCATCCAGCAGGTGCAAGTAGCAATGTGGGAATCAAACCCCGTTTTATTTGTTCCATCGCTGCACAGAGCCTTTTCTGCTGTGGTGTTTAAGGCTGGATACAGTTTAAAACGGGCTCCTAGATAGGGTTGCATGCTCCAGATTAGGAAATACCTGGAGATTTGGGGAGTGGAGCCTGAGAAAGGGGTGGCTCGCGGAGGGTGAGGGGCTTCGTTGGGATAGAACGCCACAGAGCCCTTCCTCCCAAGCAGCCATTTTCTCCTGATGAACTTACCTCTCTGTCACCTGGAGATCAGTAGAACAAAGTCACAGAATCATAGAATGTTGGAAGCGATCTTGCCGGTCAACTATTTATTATTTATTTATTTAATTCAATTTATACCCCGCCCTCCCCGCAATGCGGGCTCAGGGCGGCTTACATGGGGGCAAACGCCAATATAAAACATAATTAAAACCATTTAAAATCCAACAGTACAAAACATTCATAACGAGTTACTGACTAAAGTGCTCTAGGTGTTCTACATGAAATTTCAGAGATGGCATATTTGAACTGCTCAGCATCGTCTGCTCCAGGGAAGCATTGATGTTCCCTCATCCAGGGCCAGGTGAAGATGGAATAATGATGATGGTAGTGGCGGCTCCTACTCATACGCCTGGTGGAAGAGCTCCGTCTTACAGGCCCTGCGGAACTGCACAAGGTCCCGCAGGGCCCGGATCTCCTCCGGGAGCTCGTTCCACCAGATAGGAGCCACCACCGAGAAAGCCCTGGCCCTGCCCCCTGCACTCTGCAGGAGCACAGCCGAAAGGTGGCCCTACAACAGACCCGAGAGATGGTCGTCCAGCCTCCGCTTGAAAACGTCCAGCGAAGGAGCACCCACCACCTCCCGAGGCAGTCTGTCCCACTGCTCAACCACCCTGACAGTTTGCGAGTGTGCCCTAAGCGCTTCATCTTTCAGCATCTCCCATCCACCCTGTGCAGATTTCCCCCTCAGCATTTCCAGCCACGGGATCTTACCTAATATTTCCCTGAGTTTTTTGAAATCAGCTTTCCTGAAGTCCAGGATACGAGTCCTACTATGTCCTGGTTGCACATCCTTCTCTGTGTCGAATTCCCAGCTGACATGGTCACTATTCCCCGAGGATCCCACAACGTTCACTTCATCAACCAGTTCTTCTCGTTAGGTAAAGGGTTCCCTTACTCGAAAGCCAGTCGAATCCGACTCTAGGGTTGCGGTGCTCATCTCCGTTTCCAAGCCGAAGAGCCAGCGCTGTCCAAAGACGTTTCCGTGGTCATGTGGCCGGCATGACTAAACACCAAGGTGCACGGAACGCTGTTGCCTTCCCACTGAAGTGGTACCTATTTATCTACTTGCAATTTCTTACTTTCGAACTGCTTCTCGTTAGTCAGGATTAAATCCAGGATAGTAGATCCTCTGGTTCCCACCTCCACCTTC